ACTTTTGATTCAGTAAATGCACTGAGGAGTCAGAACCCAGATCAAATGGACAAATCTCTCTCTTTTTTCCTTCCCTCGGCTTGCTATCTCTGCCTTATGCTGCATTTGAGATCTGGGGGATCTGCGATCAGCTGCATCTGCCTCTGAGCTGCAGGACCCAAGATCAAGGCAGGGCCTGGTGGATCCTACCTAGAGATGAGGCAGGGCTCTGGAATGTTTCTCAGATGCTCTCCAGCACTTCCCAGCTGGGCTTACTAAAGTGCTTTAATTACGGAGGTAGGAAAGTGAGAGTAAAGAAGAGCTTGCAGCAAGCCAGCACCCTTCTTCCCTAGAGTTCAAAGTCCTTTCTGAGGTGGGTCAGTACTGTTCTCGGACATTTCACAGCTAAGCAGGAGAGGGGTCTTTGCACGCAGCACTTTGTAAAAGAGCAGCAGGCCAGGCTGCCACCCATGCCTGTGCCACCCACGTCCGTGAGCTGGAGAAATCCTCTGTGTCCTGATCCTATCTTCCCTCTGTGCTCTGCCACATTCCCTTCCCAGAAGCCAGTATATGCCAGGCACAAGCAGCTGCCTTGTTGCACTGACTGTAGGGCAGGGCTGGAGACCCCTCTCCCCATTCCCTCACTACCACCCAGCGACGATGCTTTGGAGCTACCTCTAAAGTCTCAGCATTATTGATCCTCCTGAAGCAGGGACCCGGGGATGGCCCCTGGTTGAGGTGCCTCTCCAGGAAACAGAGTGGTGGGATACTGGAGTTGCACAGCTGGTGTGGAAATGACTGTGCCAATGCCATTTCCCTGGGGTCTGGATCACTCCTTCAAAACAAGGGAAAGGAAGTTCCCCTGCTTCTGATGGAACCCTTCCTCTGAGCTCGCTCCCATGGCTTTCCCTATAGGAGCCCCCAGTCTGGACTCGCATCCTTATTCCTAATGTAGACATTAAAGCAAGGCCTGCAGAGATGGCTGCTTCCCATCCCAAACAAGCATGAGGCATTGCTGGGGGATCATCAAACAGCAGTGAATGCAACAGCTTCTAGGTGAGGGTTGCACAAAGGGCCTGGGCAGGGAATTCCTACCCTAGGCGCTGGTCTTGTTATCCACGCTCCAGCTCTCCCCAACTCAAGTCTCTCCCATCTGCAAAATGGGGATGACACCAGGGGAAACCGCATGAGTGTTTGCACAGCCATTTTAGGCCTGGAGCTGTGGGACACTGGTGGCTCCTGCTCATTGTTTGCAGAGACTTCATGTGCTAATTACACCTTGCACCTTCAAAGAGCCTTAGCTCCTTAAGCCTCCCCCTCTGCCCTGTGGAGCAAGGCAGGACTAATTTCCCCATTGCAGAGATGGAGAAACCAAGGAGCAGCCAAATAAGGGAACATCAGGGCTGGGTTTAGCGCTCCAGCATTCCAGTTCCCAGGCTGGCGCGAGGCTCCCAGGCCTCCACATGCTGGTGATGACAAGTATGGCTATGCGGGCCCATGTCAGCATGGGGAACTTCTATGATCCGTATGTCTCCTAGACTGTCCCTGCCTGTGGCTTTTCAGGATCATTGTGCCAAGCACTTCTATGGGACAAGTGAGCCACTAGGGATCTGGCTTTGTAGAACTGCTGTAGCTGCACCAAGCTCAGCACTGACAACTGCTAGTTGTTGCTTTGTAGGAGGCCAGGCCCAGCTGCAGAGACAGCTTTTTCTTCCTGACATGGCAAGCTAGATCAGACTGATAACACCCTGCCAACTGATGCAGGGGACCCGTGGGTCTTTGGCCCATCCAGAGAGGAAGGGCAGCTTGCAGAGGCCATCTCCAGGGTGCCCCAAGTGTTCAAGAAGCAGAGCCCCTGCATGCTTGCACCCCTGGCATCCATGAACAGCAGTGCCCCGCAGGTCTGGGGGGTGGGCGTTCAAGGGCTTTGGATGCAGTAAAATCAGGTTGCAAGAGCCCAGCCTCAGAACAAAGGCTGAGGAAACAAACTGATTCGTAGTGATACAAATTCCCCAGCGAAAGAAGAAAGATGAGCCACCTGGTTTGGTTGGGAGGGACTTCAGCCTGCCCATGTCAGAGCAGAGCCCATGCCAATGGCAGATGGAGGGAGGAAGATGGTTTTAATTTGGAGACCAGAGAAGCTACAAGGTGGGGTCAGTTTGTCTCGATCCCCACATCCCACTCCCTGCAAAATTTGCTCCTCCTCTCCCAGCCCCAGGACTGTCTAGGTGGATAAGTGGTGGCTACAGAAAGGTCCCCTCATTCTTGCCCTGAGAAAGCCGAAAGCGTCCCAGGGGGATTTG